AGGGAGATATACATTAATTGTATTGAATTTTGACGCTGTTTTATTTTTATTTAATGCTATAATAGGGTAAGAGAAATGTTTCCTAAGTTAAATATATATACATCTACAATTATTCTGATTATATTGTACCTGGTCATATGTAAATCTGTCCAGGCAAGGGGTTACTTATATTTTAGCAAATAAAAAACTAATAATTGGATTCTCTTCTTAGTTTATAAAACTTATGATTCTACTCTCACCTCTGTTGTTCCAGATTTCACTTGTAATAAATTTAATCGATAATTAAATTTTTATGTACCATTATTTGTTGCCCATGAGCTATTTATTTCATTATTATCTTTAGTTATGCTAATTTTGCAATCCACATTTTTTGATAATTTATTATTACTAGTGTTCGCCCATGAAAATCTGAATAAAACATAATATATTCATTTGCATGTTTCTAACAATTTTTTTTATTCTTATACAATCGTTCATTGTATTTCTGCAACCATAAACTTTTATGTGTGCTTAGGATACAACATATTTCAGTACCATTATAATTAAATAAAAAATACATTCAATAAAATAACAATTTAAAAACCCTCATTTATTGATATGATGTTAAATAATTTTTATTTTGAGGTTACTCTTGAAGTCTCTAAAAAAGGGGGTTGGGTGGCTCTTACTATTTCCTACCTCAGCTTGCACTGTGTTATGAACCATATCGAAAATAATCATTAACAGCCCAGAAAAGTTATTCAAAAAAAGGGTGGCTGAAAAAAGGTCTGCCAACTCTTCAAATTTTTTAAATTTTTTATTTATCTATAGAACTAATGTCTCAAAATACTCAAATTATAAAAAAGTTTCATCTCCACCTAAACTGAGGGGGGAGAGGGAATTCCCTCCCCTCACCTAAATTTGAAGGGGGGTGAACTGACTTGTCCTTTGGGAGTGAAATTTCCTCTCAAAGGTCAATCTGTCGTACCCTAATTTCATTTTCCTAGAGGTTTTATATATTGACCGTCAATGTGGTGGGGAAGTTGGGCAGAAAAAAGGGGTGGCCTACTCTTTCTTCTAATTTTTTTCAATTTTTCTAATTTTTCTAATTATCTATACAACCAATATCTCAAAATACTCAAATTATGAAAAAATCGTTTCACCTCCACCTACACTTAGGGGGGGGACAAATTTACCCCCTCAGCAGCGTTGTATAGGGAATGACAAGACTTTTAATGAGGTATCACTTGACCCCCTTCCCCTTTGAAAAAATTAGGCGAGAATGACACCCCTTTATATAATTTATTATTTATTTGAATTATAATAATGTATTGAATCATTCATACTAAAAATTATACCTGAATTTTCATGCTAAATATTGGTTTTTTGTCATTTGGATAAATTAAGGTTTATCCGCGGGAGCGCGCATTTTTAAAGACCTAAAAAACGTATTTATGTAATGGTTTATTGTGTTTTTAAGTGATACTAACGTATTGAATCATTCGTACTAAAAATTATATTTGGAATTTTGTGCTAAATTTTGGTTTTTGATATTTTGATAGAATAATGTTTTTTCTCCGAAATCGCGCATTTTTTAAAAACCTAAAAAATGTATTTAGAGGTCTTGCTATTTGATGATTTTTTAATTTTTTTATTAATACTTGTTTATTGAATCTTTGGTATAAAAATTGTATTTGGAATCTCGTGTTAAATGTTTGTTTTTGTTGGTTTTATTGAGTAATATTTATCCGCGGAAACGCTTGACTTCAAAAACCTAAAAACGATATTTATATGCCTTAATATTTAATAATTTTTTATTTATTTTATACCTAGTCATGTAATAAATTATTGATATAAAAATTGTATTTGTAATCTCGTGCTAAATGTATTTTTCGGCCTCTTTGTTATTATAGTCGTTTGACGACAAACCACCTTACTTTAAAAGGCCAAAAAAATATTTTAAATCATTGCTCGGCCATAATTATTTGTTTAATCAATAAAGAAAAAACCTAATGAATATTTGGTATAAAATTATATTTTTAAACGCATTGTAAATGTGTTTGTTTGATCCCCTTCTTTCTTGTTTTAATTCAAATTTTGCCGAATAACAATATCAAAACATTAAGGGATCGCCGCTCGGTTTGTCTGCTAGTTTGGCTGCTAGCTTCAGCCTCGTCCCTACTGAAGGGGCTGAAGGTTTTTACTATGCTTTTTGCATCAAAAGGTGTCCCCTTAACAAACAAACTTGATGTATTTTTTGATTTTGCCAAAAAGTTCTTTTCCACCCTGTAATGCCTTGCGGTACGTTTTCGATGGACCAACCTGTATATAGATTGATTTCTTACTATTCTGAACCTTTATCTAAATAGTACAAACTAAATAGCGTAAAGATCAATCGATTGCCAAACTGTAGACGTTTAAATACAGTGTCTTTAAAATAGTCGTATTTTTCATTTTTCATATTTTTTCAAAATAAAATAGAAAAAAATTTTAAAAGACGCTTTTTTGTTTATTTCTCTTTTAAGACACTAAAGATAAGGAAGTTGGTTATCATGAGCAGGTGGTGCTTATTTCGCATATTTTTAAGCCCGGCAATAGGCATTCGATTGCGAGATTTTTGATAATCTTTGGTTAATTTGTAAAGCACTCTTATTTAAATAAATATTCATTTATTACTTATACTTATTGTTATTTTATGAAAAAAAGTGCATCCATAAAAAAGATCGCTTTCATCGGAAACTGGACCCGGGTCGCGAAATCCAGAGTTGAGCGTTTAACGATCTGAACCATGATGGTTTATGTTAAGTCAGTTATCTAATCAAATAAATATGTGACAGCATTTTCTGCAACATCTTTAAGACACCGTCACCTCTAGTGCCTTTGCAACAAAATATTTCTATCCTCTATAACAGTGGTCGCCAACCTCTCAATGTGTTGAGCGACTTAGTAGTTTGGATAATAATTATCTGATTAAAATAAAATTAAATATAGGATGACACAAACTGCAATAATTAAATCAACTGATAAACGAAAACGTAAAATTTTGATCAAGGAGAAAACGTTTTTATAAAAACATTCAATAGACAGTTACATTTTATTAATCCCGTTTAGCGACAAAAACGTAAAACAAACAGCAAAGTATTTAATTTTATTGCACGTGACGGTGTCTCATGCTTTATAGAAATCATTAACGCCGGATTTCGAAAACATAAATACCGTGTGATTCTCGTATGACGTCAAGAAAATAATCATGTGAATCGGCAGGCGACCGACTGGCTGAAAATCTAGCAATACAGGCATCGGACATAATTTTAAAATAAGTTTAAATTTAAATATAACCTGGGGATTTTCGACAAACCGACTACCGACGTGATGTTTTTGTTTTTGGCTGTCATTTTCGTATTAATATTGTTGTAAATTAACTAAGGCGTGCTCGTTATATGGTCATTTAAAAATCGTAATCAAGGTGTAGATAATTTTTATCTAATTGCCTTGTTTTATGCTTCTAAGAATTCATATAACTTCAAAATGTAATTTGATCAAGAATTATCGGAGACCAAAGGCCATATTATTAGTGGATTTAAAGAAATTAAATAAAATAGTTGTTTACTAGTCTTTAAACTTCAAAATTGCTGACCGGGCGTCATCTGTCGATCACGATGAATTGATAAAGATTATTTCGAAATATTTTTAGAATGCCGAGGTATTTTATACAATTTTTTTGGCCAGGATCCATATATAATTCAGATATATTAAATAAATTAACAACAACACAGATCGTCCTGAACAAACAAACATAAAAACAATTTCTGGATAAAATATGTCAAAAAATAGATCATAAAATCAAAGTTAAGCCACCAAATTAAGAAACGCTGTTGCTAAAAACTTTTATATGAATTGTTGACCAAGCCTAAACATTTCTTTCAGTTATTTTTGAACATATTGTTTTTTGTCCGAAAGTGACCTCATAAAAAAATCTTAATTGAAGATCCTGTGCTAACCCTAAACAAAAAGCTATATGGAATGATTCTTAAAAACCAAGAGTAAGCTATGTGAAGATGGTTTAGCCTAAAGTAACGCCAATGCTTCACAAAACTTGAAAACTCGTGGTCTTTCGTTCAAAATCTAAGCGTTTCTCGTTTCTTTTACGCTACAAGTTTATGCGCGAGGGGCTTTATTCACCAGTTTACCGCCCACACGAATTTTCTAAAATTTTAGTTGAACCTATTATTATTGATAAATTTTCACACCAAAAATATGCAGGTGGTACAAAATATATTGGCTTATTAAATTAAAAAAATCTGATGTGTCCAACACATGACTTTCCTATCTAGTTATTACATGCTTTTTCCGGTTATTTTGTACAACCTATTGCAGCACCTCCATAAATGTTTAGAGGATAAAATAAATATATACATTTTCCACATACATCTACCTCGAAACAGTTTTCTATAGATATTCATTGGAAATGAAAATACTGAAAAATTTAAATTTAGCACTTTTCCTACATTTTTTCCATTACGGTCCATTTTAGAAAAATAATGTATAAACAAAAATTATAGAGATCGATATCGCAAACAACTTTTATTTCAACAATTTTCATAAAAATCAGAATTTTGCACATTTTGTCAAATTTCTCGAATACGGACCATTTCAGGAAATTTTGACATAAAGTAAATATTATAGATAGTAGAGAGTTATCGAAAGGTATCTTTCGTACTTCCTTTAATAAAGTTTCTTTTATTTTGACATATACGCATGCGCATTCACTGATATTTTATGATCGTCTTTTAATAAAATACAGGCTTTCCTTACTGTATTTTAAATAAAGAAGAGGACTTTTATTTAAAAATTCTCTTATTCTGACAATTTTTCTGTCATTCTGTCAAATTTGTTTTAATTGACAGTCAATAATTTTATAACTTCCTGTGCTTCCTGTTTATTTGTCATTGAATTGCTTGTGTGTTACTTGTGTTTTTTTTATAATTCCATTGATTTTTTTTTAAATATGACTGCCGAAGGGGAAAAGAAACGCCTTCGATTTACGTATGAGGACGATATAGTTTTATTAAGAGAAGTTGTTTCGCGAAATCCTTTTCAGAATAGTGACATGTGGGAAGAAGTAAAGACCAGTGTCTTTCAAGTTACAAAAAAACTCTTTAGTATTAAAACTATTCGCCAGCACATTCAGCTACTATTGGATCAATGGATCGAAAAAGAAAAAAATAATCAAAAAAGGTATGTACATAACTGTTAAATAGGTGCACATTTATGCAAATTATATTATTTCATTATGCAGTTCAGGAGTTGAAGAGCCCTATTCAGAAAGGGATGTGCTACTTCAAGAAGTAAAAGATTTTGTGGAAGAAGACAAACAAATAAAATGTACCAAACTACAAAATAAAAAAGCGCAGAAGATGATAACTGAATCTGCAAAAGAATTGCGAACCGAAATGGCTGTCTCTTTTTATGAAGCCAATATAAATAATTCTATCATTGATCACAATTATGTCTCAAATTCTCAAGTCATAATTGAAGAATGTGATATGAGTAAGTTGGAAATTTAAATGTATTTAAAATGTCAATAAAAATTACTACTTACAGATGAAGACTTTGAAATGGCTTCTACCTCTAATAAAAATAATGGTCAACCTTCCAATTCTATATTAGTGGATGAAATTGCAAATGAAACCCCCAGAAAAAAATTATGCCCCAACATCAAAAACGTTTTGGGTGAGTATACCTTCAGTTTGTAATTTTTAAATTCAATATAATTGGTTGAAAATAAATAATTGAGTAAGAGTAAGCTGTTAGTATAACATGTATAACCTTTTTAGGCCCTATAAGAAAAAGAGCCAAAAAAACTACATATATGAGGAAAACGGGTTTAGATTATTTAAAAGAAAAAAATTCAAAGGAACTGGAACTAGAAGAAAAGCGCCTAAATATAGAAGAAAGAAAAGTTACAGTATCTGAAAGGAGCATTGCTTTGGCAGAAAAAAAATTCGAGTTTGAAAGTATTTTTTACAAAAAAACTGTTGATTCTCAACAAGAAATTATAAGCAATTTGATTTCTTTGGTAAAAGATTTAAAAAATAAATAACTTTCTGTTTGTTTTTGTTCTTGTTTATTAAATTTTTTAAAAAATATCCTTTGTATTTATTTCAAATTACAATTACATGGTATTTTTAAAGATCTTATTACTAAACATAATCATTGATTGTAAATTCAATGACCTTAACCTATATATTCTTCTAGATTTGGGGGTGCCACATTGAAATATTCACTAGTTTGATTTCCATACAAGCAAGAGTGACAGTTAGTCAATATAACTGCACTCTTATATAAACTGTCGACATCATTCAACAAAAGTTTTTGATTTTTTTTGTAATCGATAAATGCGAATTGACTTATCACTTTCTGGAATCCCCATTCCACAGCAACACGAAGGACTTTCATGCTATTATTGAAGGCCAATTCATGAAGCAATAAATTTGCAGGATGTCCTGCAAAAGGTGATATCAATAGAGGTCTGATACCATATGCTTGGTCCCCATATATAACAAAATTTTCATTATTTGGTAGCATGCAGTTTTGTTCCAATTGTTGATAAAGATTTGACAGCCTGAACATTCCAGCATCATGGCGCCTCCCAGGAAATGCTCCCATTAAATTAATAATTATTCCATCGGGGGTCAGTAACGATTGGTACTTTAGACAATGGATTCGCTTATGGCCTGAATAGTATTCCTCCTGGTCTATACTAGGACGACAAATTTGTCTAGTTGTGCCATCAATAAATGCCCAACAATTTGGTATCGCCCCTCCCATATTTACAATTGACTGAAAACAATACTACAATACAAAAATGTCTCATATAAATAAAACATCATATACATACCTGTGCATATTGTCTAAATTTAATGATATTTAGCCACTGATGAGTCACCAATCGTTCTAAAAGATGTCCATGAGTGTTCACAATAAAATCTGCCATTGTCTTAATAAATTGTGATAAAGACTGTTCTGAGCAATTAAACATAAACTTTAAATCAATCAAACGACTGGGGTAGCATAGTCTTCGTAGCAACATACACAATGCTGTCAAACCTATAAACAAAACAGAAATAGTCAAAATTAGGTTTTTATTTTCTGTTATAACATGCATATTAACAAACCATCAGTTCTGTTTCCATTTTCTGTCAATATTTCGTCTGGAATTCGAAGTGCATTCCTTAATCTAATTATGTCATTCCTTTCAAAACGAAAATTTTTTTTCTCTTGTTCGTCAGTAAAATTGTTTAAGTGAAATGGAACTTCTGCATTAATTGGTTCATTATTGATCACTCCAATAACATTATGAAGGATTAGAAGCTCTATATCTTCATCTCCAGCGCCCATCATAATAGCAATTTCTAATTGTTGGTCCATGAGGAATTAAGTTTATAATTTTTTTTTTAATAAATTAATAAAATAACAGAAACTATAAAAACGAATTTCGAATTTTTAGGTTACAATACACAGGGTCAAAAAACCGGTACACAAAAGTCAACTTCATACTTTATGTCAAATTAGAGGAAATGTCATAATAAAGTTTAGACATAAGTCGCGTTCGATAGTTTAATTCTAAAATCACGTTACAGGATATTTTATTACAGGATCTTTTATTAAAAGCAGCCTTTATTTGAATGCTTCGATAACTCTCTAATATTAGAAGTAACTTTTATTTTAACAATTTTCTTCTCCAAACATAAATAACAGATATATTCCATAAAATATAAAAACGGCCTCCCATAAAGTACCCCCCTAGATGTTCCGACTTTGTCCAAAATCTAATAATTTCACGTCAGGCCGAAATAAATCTTAAGTTTAAAATTTAATGTTTTTTTCTTTATCCGTTTTTGAGTTTTCTTCAAATTTCGAAATTTACACATTTTCTCAAATATCTTGAATACGGTCCATTTTAGAGAAATTATGTAAAGGACAAAAATTATAGAGAATTATATTGCAAACAACTTTTGTTTTAACAATTTTTATAAAAAAATATTTTTTTACATTTTGTCAAATTTCTCGAATACGGACCATTTTAGGAAAATTTTGTATAGAACAAAAATTTTAGATAATAATTTATTTGAAGAATTTTCTTCCCCAAACGTAAATAACAGATATATTCCATAAAATATAAAAATGACCACCTATAAAGTACCCCCCAGATGTTGCGACACTGCCTAAAATCTAATCAGCACATTGGACACTGGAACAAAGTTTAAAATTTGGTGTTTTTCTGTGTATCGGTTCATGAGTTATGCGACACACACACACACAGACATCATCGCGAAAATAGTCTAAACGGATTCAGGGGACCTCAAAACGTAAAAATCCGTCGAAAACTCGAGGTCAAAAAAAATCATGATTCCTATACTTTCCTTATATCTGTATACAGATAGGAAAGTAAAAAAGAATATGATACTTCTATTTAACTATTCTAGGGCAGTTCTCAAACAATCTAAAAGTATTTACAGGTAGGTAAATTTATATTTGCAAATAAAGTTTATTTGATTTAAATATTTAAATCATATTCCACTTACGAGAGTATGCAAATTCCAAAGGTCGTTAAAACGTTGCATGGGGATTTCCCATTGTTAAACAAGATTGTGACAGTTGATGATAAAAACATGACTTCATTTAAATTTCTGTGAAAACATAAAAACCACATTCGCATGACACAAAAATCATACAGTGCATTATACCAACGTTGAAGATTGCATTTCCTTAGTTTTATTTATTTATTTTTTTGTTGTGGCTGTTGCTTTTCATATTTTTTAGTCATTTATTTATTTTATGCTATATGTCCAAACTAATTTAGAGGTTCTATAATAATAATAATAATAATAATAATAATAATAATAATAATAATAATGATTATTAATGAGAAATACTAAATATAAAATCCAGGGTTGAATATAGTAACGCAGTATAACATATACAATGTGTATAAAAAGTGACGCAACTTGCTAATGCTTCCGAAAATTTATTAAATAAATCAGTATAAGTCAATTAGAAATATACTGGGTGCACCATTACACCAAATTAACGCTTTGTGGCGTCGGTGGATAGAATAGATCTACCCGGACATTTACCAGGTTTCAACGTAAATTGTTTTACAAATAAGGGCTACTTTTTCAAAAATAATAACCTTTTATAAACTTATTGTTAAATAAAATTTAACAGTACAAAAAAATATTACGACGAATTGAGAACCTCCTCCTTTTTTGAAGTCGGTTAAAAAATAAAATAAAATTTTGCTAATAAAATTAAAATGACGAATATTTCTGCCGAGTCGCAATATTCTTTATTTTAATTTATTTATTGTGAAATCATTAAATTTTATGTACTGGATGTTATTTCTAAATGTTCTGATTGAATATATTTTTTTTATTTATTAATTCTGATTGAACATGAACATAGATTGAATGTTTTTTTTCTATTTATTATTATATTATTATTTTATGTTTTTATAGATTGTTTTTGTTTATGGACAAAGTTTTATTTTTTGAATAAAAAAATCAAAAAGTTATCTTAGTTTCTAGTATCAATTTTATTCTGACGTATAACTTAAAATACTTTTTGTTACAATTAATAAAGTCTGGGGTCTAAACATCCAGGTGTTCTGTAACCTGAAGTTTTAAGGTACTGCATAGCTTTTATCGCGGGCTTTGAGCGCGGCGACCCTCGAAAAATCGAAAAACCAAATAACCGAAAAATCGAAAAACCAAAAAACCGAAAGATCGAAAAAGAAATTCCGTAACGAAAATAAACCTAACACGCCCCACTCCGACCGGCGCAGCGGTGCGGCGTTGAAAGCCGTGCATCGTCTAATGTCGTTTCAGTTCGGCAGACTTCGGCACGGTGTTTGTCTGCATGCGACTAGACGTATGCGTGTAGACTAGCTGCTAACTGCTCATGACTGATTCTATCTCTTTAGACACAATTTCGGAAAAATTGAATTTGAAAATTAATAATGATCCACAAGAATCCACAACAAAATATGGGACCACCATTGACGCGGTATTTTCCAGATATTTAGAAGATATCAAGTCTCAAACTTATGTTTCTTATTTCAGTTACCATAAACCTATAGCTTCAATGATAAAAATTCCTGAATAACCTACATGTATTGTAAGATAATAAAAATATTTTAAACAATATTAACTTCTCATTTATTCAATAAAAGAAAAAAAATTGTTTTCTTATCGGTCACCACACTCAAAAAGTGTAACTTGAATTAATATCAAAGAAAAAAAAACTGCATAAATAAAATAAATAATTATAATTGCATAAGTTGATAAAAAATGTTATGCAATAGCTTTACCGCGGCAGTCGCCGAGTGCCACACGTATTTTTTTTACTACTGGGAAATAAAAAATCTTGTTTGTAGCAATGAGTGAACGAATGTATACATAGTGACAATTTGAAAACGAATAGCATTTAATGTTTCTAAAACACTATGAAAATTTGCCGAAACACGTGCAATTTACATATACAAGGGGGACAACTGAGGTATTTGTTGTTGTATTACATGCAATCCCTCACCCCCAGGGCACCTAAAATTTTAAATAAATGACGAGTATTTGAGTCACAACCTATTACCAGCTCCTCAGCTCAATCAGATCCTCTAACTCTGCTAGGTGATGGCGTGGTTGTGCAGGGGAGGTATGCAGGTACCAGATTCAACGTTTTCTTTTCCTTCTTTATATTCCATTCTAATCCCAGTTAAATCGGAGGAGGAAAGGTGTGTCATTGAGTGGGTTTTATATTTCTTAGGAATATAAATGGCTGTCCTGGGTTGTTGGTTGCTGGGAAAGCTAAAAATTGAACCATTTATATTTTTTAGACATACAATATTGGTTTTTATTATCCAGGGTTCCTGTATGAGTGACTACCCTTTTGTGCTGCAAGTTACATTGTATACTAATTGTTACCTCTTTAATTGCTATCTGATTCTCATTGAAGTTTGGGAATCGTTTGAGGTTAGTGTTTGATTATCCTTTCCTTCGAAAGAAGATGGGGGTGGTCTTGTGTGGCTCCTTAGAGTTGTAACCGATCGTGGCCTTTTCTTGGCCTTTGTTGCGTCATGTTTCTGGCCTCTTTTGGAAACAGAACTATCGTCGCTTCCAAAAGACGATTGGCCTGCTTGGATTGGGTTTGGAGTGAGAGCGTATCAGTTTAGGCTTATTTCTCCTCTTTGCTTAAGAACCAGAGATCCTCTAGCCTGTCCGGTGCCTGTCGGTTTGAGGTGAACTGCGATTTCCATCCTTGTATCTTTGAAGGTGGACGTCGATGTTCAGCCTCTTGTGCAGGAGTTGAACTCCGCTGTCCACTCCAGCCTCCTTTGCTGGAGGTGAACATTGACGTCCAGCCTCCTTAGATTTATGTTGGTTTAGGTCCATAAGGTTTCCACGAGTAGCTAGGGAAAGAAGAGTCGACCGACGCAGAGCCATGCATGTGCCGTCAAGGCTAGATACAAGAGGATGTCGCCAGGTACCCTAAGAGGAACGTTGGCTGCCACCTTTACCCCTGCTACAATTCATTCGTCAACACGTTTACTTACACCTGTTAAACTGTGAAGAATATAACATAGAAAACCAAGCATTATATATCTTCATTCTAGTTTTCTTTATTGCTTTATCAATTATCACCCCCAAAATTTTTCCCTCTGTGTAGTTTTTAAAATGAATTTCACTCTGTCTTGTGCTTAGTCTGTCTTTTCGGTTGCATGCACACAGAATTAGGTACTACATAGTTCATAGTTCGCTTTTTAAATGTTTGTTTAGGACGCGGTTGTCAGATTCGTATTTTTATTGTTAGTTTTTAATTTAGATAAGTGTACAAACCAGTCTATGTATTGTGCGTTTTAAGAGTTCAGGCATCGTATCTTATGAACGATGGTTCAGGTACCCTAAGTAGTAAATATTACTCGGTCTTATATATTACAGATGATTATAAAAATGACAAATTTACGATAATATATAAATTATAACATTTATGATGACTTATTAAATGAAAAACCACATTTATAAATTTATGGTATTAATATAGATAGAGAATGTAATAATTAATATTTAATTTTTCAAAATAAATTAGATGTTCATCCAAGATATCCCAACATTATAAGAATTCCGTACTGGATAGGAAGAAAACACTTTCATTCAGCTATGTTATTGATTTTGAGTTTTATTCTTTCGTCAATATTATTAGTTTCCTATAGCATTTCTAAAGGGAAAACAAAAATATATAGAAGAGAAAAACTAACTGGCGACGGAAGTTTATATTACAGAACATCCATTTACAAATAAAATACACAATATAGAGTGCCCAATGATAAACATTTTAAGTAAAGACTCTTTGCTAAAATGATGATTGATATTCGCCATAAGTGAACCTAGATCATAAACAACAGTATTATCTTTTGTGCATTATTCTTTATCCCAACTCTTTTCAACTCAATCATTATTTGTAGCAGATAAAAATAATTTTAATTTGGTAAAAACATAAAAATACATTTTTAAAAATAAAAATAAAAAATTTGGATCGTGAAACATGCAACTTTTTGATAAAGTCTTGGATATAGACACAAAATTCAATAGCTTATTTAAAATAAATGTTATCCTTGTTACTGTAATCATTTCATCTATTGATCATTTATTGCCACGGAAACCCTATCATTTCGAATAATGAATACTTACATTTTACTGGTATAATACGGCTTACGGTTCCATTTCAAAGAATAAGTGAAACAAATTATCTAAAATGACAAAAGAAAAACATCAAACAATAATTTTATTGCTTCGTTTGAGCATAATACCGTAAATTGATGTTTGCAAAAATAGTATTTTATGTAGGTGTACTTTTAAATTTGAAACGCATAATTTATCGACCTTTCAAGGTTGTTATAATAATTACAAAGGTTTTTCTCTACGGATTTTTCTAAAATTGACTCATACAATTTTTAGTTTCCAAGTTGACTTTTTATTCAAATATTATACTCTTAGGATATGAGTACCACTCCTTGCTAGTTACAATATACTGTTACATAACCTACACGTATCTATATACTTTTTTATTCACTAAAAATAAACTTTTTAAGTTTGGTACTACCAAAAATTTGCGGGAATAGTCTTTAATTTTCTTCTACGACATATGGATCTTTCATAATAGTACTAGATTCTCTCAAATTGTTAAAAGATCATCTACAAGTAATGTAATCATATCATTCTGAATTGCTTGATTGTATAATCTTTATAACTGATAGTTTTTTGTTAATCATGTTCAAACGATAACTATTGTAGCTAAAATGGATGACCTCTTTTTTATACTATTTATTAAAGTTGATATAGTTGTTTAAATTTAAAGAATACTATCATGTTTCCTTAGCGACCAGCTGTATAAATTGTAGTACTTACTTAGTATTTTTATCGTTTCAGGAAGCAGTACCGCTTGCGTGGTCGTCCTCAACAGAGACAACAACACACTGTACACTGCCAACATAGGCGACAGCGGTTTCATGGTGGTGCGCAAAGGCAAAGTCATCCGAAGGTCCGAGGAGCAACAGCACTACTTCAACACCCCCTTCCAGCTGTCGTTACCTCCGCCCGGCTATAGGCAGGAAGTACTGAGCGACAGACCGGACGCCGCCATGACGGATAATATACCTGTCGAAGACGGAGATGTAATTCTAGTCGCGACCGATGGTGTCTTCGATAACCTGCCGCATAATCTCATCCTTAACGAACTTGTCAAGGTAAGTCTTGGTATTTTGAGTGTTGCTAGTTTTTCTGCCTGATGGTAGATCGAGGGGTAAACCTCTCCCGTAATATTGGTACTTTTTTATTGGAAATCACCGAAATCTTTGAATCATGTCTGAAATCCCGGAATCATTAAAAAAATACAAAAGTAATCGCTGAAATTCCTAGATCGTGGCCGAAATTATCATTGAAATCCCAAAATAATCACTGAAATCCCGGTGCCATGGCCGAAATAATCACATAGATGCCATAATAATGGCCCAAATCCTTTAATCATGACTGAAATCTCAGAATCATAACTGAAATCCAGAAATAAGCACAATATTCGCTTCTTAATCAATTCTTTTCACACGCCGAAATCAACATGATGCGGACGGGGTGAAAATCATCATTCTACAAATACTGTTACGTTTTGACTGAAAATCATTATCGGAATCGTGGTCAAAATCCAGGAATCATGGTCGAAATCCTGGAAACATGGCATAAATTCCGAAATTACTGCCAAAATCCCGAAAAAAAAACACGAAAATCCCGGAGTTATGACCGAAATTCCGAAATAATCACCTAAATTCCTGAATCGTGGCTGAAATCGCAAAATTATAGCCGAAACTCAGAAACAATTACCAAAATCCCGCAATCATTTCCGAAATTATGACCGAAACCCTGAAGTAATCACCGAAATCCCTGGGTCATGGTCGAAATTATCATTGTAATCCTAAAATAATAACTGAAATCCTGGAGTCAAGGCCATAATAATCACCTAAATCCCTAAATCGTAACTGAAATATCAGATCCAGAAATAAGCACAATAATTACGAAATAATCACCGAAATCCCGGAATCATGGTCGAAATCACGAAATAATCACCGAAATCGCTTCCCAATCAATTCTTTTCACGCGCCGAAATCAACATGATGCGGACAGGGCGAAAACCATTATTCCCGAAATACTGTTACGTTTTGACTGAAAATCATTATCGGAATCATGGTCAAAATCCCGGAATCATGGTCGAAATCCTGGAATCATGGCATACATTCCGAAATTACTGCCAAATTCCCGAAATTAGGACCCAAATTCCAAAATAATCACCTAAATTCCTGAATCGTGGCTGAAATCGCAAAATTATAGCCGAAATGCAGTAACAATTACCAACATCCCACAATCATCGCCGAAATTCCGGAATTATGGCCGAAATCCTGAAGTAATCACCGAAATTATCATTAAAATCCCAAATTAATCTTTGAAATCCCGGAGTCATGGCCAAAATAATCACTTAAATGTCATAATAATCACCTAAATCCATGAATCATGATCGAAATCCCGAAATAATAACCGAAATCGCTTCCCAATCAATTCTCTTCACGCGCCGAAATCAACATAATGCGGACGGGGCGAAAACCATCATTCCCGAAATACTGTTACGTTTTGACTGAAAATCATGGTCGAAATCCCGGAATCATGATCTAAATCCCGGAATCATGGTATAAATTCCGAAATGACTGCCAAAATCCCGAAATAACCACGAAATAATTACCGAAATCACTTTGAAATCAATACTCTTCGTCCGTCGAAATTAACGTCATCCGGATTCCGGGTTTGTATTAAAATTCTCTAAATGCAGCAGTAAATAGCAAAAAAATGACTTTTTCTCCTGAAATACTGCAATAATAATCATTCATTGGAAATTATAATATCGTTGGTGAACAAGAATAGTGACACAACTCAAAAAATGAAATTTTCGAGTTTATTTGTAGCAAAATGTGTATATTTTTATGCGGAAGAACGACATATTGCTACTTCCAAAAATGACTGCTGGAAAGCGATTGTGTTTCTTCCTTTACTAAAAAGTCGTGAGTTTATCTAGTTATGCTCCGATAGTCAATGATACAATGACCCAATTTTCGGCTACAGTGACAAAATATGCCAGTTTTATTAAAAGTAAACCAGTAACATTATTTTCAACAGTGACACAAGTTAAATTGAGACAATATTGTTGAAAAGGTTATCAATATGGTGTGAAATATAAATTTCTGGAAGATCGACGTAACTCATAATATTTTTGGGTTCTTTAATGTTATTAAAAAAAAAAATATTTACAAATAAGGTGAACTAATGTTTATTAAAAAAAAAACGTTTTTAAAATACAAGATCATGACAAACCTTAAAGAAACAAAAAACTTTAAAATGTAGATTTTTTTGAGTTTTGTCACTATTCTGGTGTGCCAAAGATATTTTGATTTCGGCGAAACCGTTTAAAATTATTTAAAGAAGATTTTGTCGCAATCATATACAGGGTGATAATTTTTTTAGCTGTATATAGAAGTTGTTAAAATAAATAACTTTTTTAAAATAACTCAAAAATAAGAAAGATAGAGGATTAATAAATCTAAGATGCTTGCAAAAGGAATTTTTGTTTTGTTATTTACGCCTAGAAGCATATATTTCATTCTCGGCAAAAAAAAGAAAAAATAAATTTTACTTTGAATTTTACAGGTCATATGGCCGCTCCCACTACCGGGACATAGTACATTTTGTTTACACCCTCCTATGTGCCTAATTACAAATAGTAAAGTAAAGTAAAAAGGACGACATGCTACTTAATGCAGTCAGATGACTATAACTGATATTTTCGTCAAAACGTCAAAAGAATCAATATGATTTCACTCAAATTGCTGTAATTTTTTCGAAAATATGTCAAATTGAAGAAGTATAGCAAATTGTGAACGTCATTTTTTGTCATAAACTGAATAATAAAACAAAAATCACATAGGGTACGAACCTTAACGTTGACATTGGTATCAATTTAACAAAAAAAAAAACATATTTGTATTTTAAATCCTATTATTCATAATATAAATAATACATTACGTATCTGTAAATAGTGTAACAACTACAAAGATATTCCAAGGCTTTTAATAAGACTAATATAATAGGTAAGTTAATTGCATACCCAAACACGGTATTCTATTAATTCTCTATAAATGTATTTTAACTTCTTGGAATACCACAGTGATTATTTTCTTTTCTATAACAGCCATGACACATTACAATCGTTTATTATTTTTTTTCGAAAGTTTTCATCAAAATTTTATATTACCACAATACCACGGCGTATTACCAAACCGTTTGCCAACTTTTTCCAACTTAAAACATCCAAGCGTTTGGCCGAATATTTTTGTTTATCGCGTTAATTTTAGCTACCGAAATAGTTTTTAGCGTCACGTAACGAGATAAGCATATTTGGGGTAGAAAAATGCTAATATATGCTCGGGTAAATGTTTATTATGATGTACTCGTTAATGTTATCTCTGTTACATTTATTATATTACGTCAATTTTTATCTCTCGAGTTATACAAAAAGACGTAGAATAAATGTGAAAAACAGATTGTTTTATCAGTCATATTTACTTTTATGTTATATTCTACTCTATGTAGTTTATTTAGTAAGTAAAAGGAATTAAATAGTAGGGTGGGTTGAAAAAAAGAATTTGTACCTTATAAAAAAGAAATTTTTTTCTCGACATTTTGAGGTGGAACGCTCGTTTTTTAAATAAATATTTAATGGGGTAGTTCCAACAGGAAATTCTTGGAAAACATGTAAAAATTGTAGAATCTGATTTTTTTACTCAACTTCCATTCTAATACAAAAGAAAGTACATTTAATTTTTTTGTTTTTTTACTTAAATTACAAAAATAATGGGAAAAAAACTTTTTCAACTTTTGACTTTCAATTGGCTTTTGAGGGGACACCCTACAGATTCTTATATATTTTTTACTACCACCCGTTGTCAAGTTATTAATAGCAAACAGTTGATTTTTTTGTAATTCATTTTTTTTCCTCATAGATGGCCTCTGAACTTTTTCTTTCTGAAGTTACATTTAATTTAATTACTGATAAACATGATTCCTGATATTAAAAATTATTTATAATTTTTTTACCTGTACTTTAGTGTGAACTTTATTTTCTCAGTTTTGTGTTTAACAGTTTTACAATTGGTAAGTGTTTCAATTGAACAATAACATTTCCTGTTCAAATATAATTTATTTCTGACTAAAATTTTTCTGAATTATGTCAGAAACAACAAAGATCTTCGTTTGTCCAATTTTCGGTGTTCCTCAAAAATTTGAGCTCGTATGTTTTAACAATCTTTATTTGATAGTGAATTCGTCTGCTTAACATACAGTGTTGCCGGTACGGGCTCAAGTTTTTGAGGAATACCGAAAATTGGACAAACAGAGATTTTTGTTGTTTCTGATATAATTTAGAAAAATTTTAGTCAGAAATAAATTATATTTGAACAGGAAATGTTATTGTTTAATAGAAAAAACACTTAAAGTTACCAATTGTAAAACTGTTAAACACAAAACTGAGAATTTTTTTTTTGTACTACTTGTACAGGTAAAAAAATTATAAATAATTTTTAATATCAGGAATCATGTTTATCGGTAATTGAAAATTAAATGAAACTTCAGAAAGAAAAAGTTCAGACGCTATCTATGAGGAAAAAATGAATTACAAGAAAATCAACTTTGTTGCTATCAATAACTTGAGAACGATGGTAATAAAAAATATATATAAGGTGTTCTAGAATCTATAGGGTGTCCTCTCAAAACCCTATTAAAAGTCAAAAGTTGTAAAAGTTTTTTCCCATTATTTTTGTAATTTAAGTAAGAAAAAAAAACAAAAAATGAAATGCGCTTTCTTTTGTATTAGAATAAAAGTTGAGTAAAAAAATCACATTCTACAATTTGTACATGTTTTCCACGATTTTGGACCAAAAAAAGAATTTCCCGTTGGAATTACTCCATTTCATTAAACATTTATTTAAAAAAATGAATGTGCCACCTCAAAATGTTGAGTAATTTTTTTTTTTTTGAAAATTTTCTTTTGTTATAAGGTGCAAATTCTGCCCCCATGCTAAGA